GAGGCGCAGGAAGAGGACACTGGCCTTTGGAAGCTGAGGACGTAGGCCCTGAACCTCTCCGCCACATCAGCAATGGGACCAGAAGATGCTCCTCAGTTTGAGGTAAGGCAACAGCTCCTGTACCGTGTTCACCCTGGCTTGAAGGCTTGAATGGGGCAATTCCCGATCTAAGCTTTTACTACTGGGCGTCTCCAGACAGCACTGTCTCCCCCAGTGACATAACTGCAGCCCATGGGCTCCATCTGGTCCAATTCCATTCATCCCTCCACCAGCCCCCTTGCTGCATTATCGGGATACCATCGCTCTGTCGGTTCACTCCGACAATCCTTGGAGAAGTGGCCAAACTTTCCACAATGGAAACAGATCATATCTTTGGTTGGTCCCTTGAACACGGTCCGCCTCTTTTCCGAATCCCCTGGGCTAAGTGTCGGTGGGGCGGGGGCACACCTCTCCCAACCATAACTGGCTTTGGAGACTGCGAATGCCTCCGCTAATCTGAGTGCTTCCTCGCAATTACGGGGCAAATGCTGGCACACCCAGAACTGCATGCGCTATTCTAAATCATTGATAAACTGCTCCAGCAGTCTCTGATCTGCTACAGTGTCTCAGTCACAGGACTCAGGGCTCAGCCACTTGTTGAAGAGATCCCACAGCAACTGTAACAAGAGTCAGGGTCGCTTTTCCTCTGGTCTCTTCTTGGCCCAAAAGAGCTGCCTGTAATGTTCCAGATTAATTTCCAACTGGTACAGGATGGCGGTCTTAACCCGGTTGTAGTCACGGGCCTCATCAGGGGAAGGGCCCGATATGCAGGCTGGGCCGTGCCAACTATGAGGGCCTTGAGCTGGCTGGCCCAATACCCCTTATCTAGGCTCATTATAATGGCATGCCGCTCAAAGGCCTCAATGTAAGCCTCCAAATCATCCTCCCGCGTCATCTTCAGCATCTTAAACGTAGTCAAGCTGTGCCACAGCTAGTCCTGCTGCCGTTCCATCATTTGTTGCTGGGCATCAAGGATTTGCATTAGGGCCTGCAAATTCTGCCCCAGCACGTCTGGAGGGGCCATGGCTGCCGGCTGCATGGTGGCAGGTCCTCTAAGGGCTGGATCTTCACCGCGCTTCATGGCCAGTGCAGCACTTTGCACCCGCCTGGCTTCAAACGCCTGCTCGCATGCCGCCTTGGCCCAAACTGTAGAGGACTTACGCTCTTTAGCTTCATGAATTCCCTGAGGTGGGCTTTGATTGTCCTTCTGGCCTCCCCCAAACTTGCCTGCCATGTTTTTGAATGTTACGTCAGTGTGGGGTTTAGCCTCGAAGGTCCCCTCAGGGATGACCACTCCACTTGTGGGATGTTCATGGGGGTCCACCTTCCCTACACCCCAGCCTTACACCAACCTCTAGCGGGACTCCAGAACTTGTCACAGCCGCCTCTCCAGTGTAGCTGTTCCTCGTGCCCTATTGTAGCCCACTTTTCTCTTTGGGGAAAGATAATTAGCTGGTTCAGGCTCTAAGTCTGGGACCCCCTTGAGCCAGTTGGCTCTATTCCCAGGGTCGGTATCGGTGCCCCTGTCAAGCAGGGGTAAAGAGAACAAAATGAAGAAAAGAAGCAGAAAAAAAGAACCCAAAAGGGTCTTCCCATCTGGTGTCCTACTAGTCAGCTCTTCCAGCCCTCCTGCCTATGCTTGGCAGTGCTCCCCTGACGCTGGTCCCACAGGGTCCCTCTTTTCTTTCCGCCCCTAAGCCAGCTCCCTGACCTGGTACCTGGGAGCAACCAAGTGGAAACGCTTCTGCTTCCCCAGCATTGGCCTCAGCCTTTTCCTCCTGGTCACTGTTCCAGTTGCACCACTGTTCAGCGTCTCCACCACCAAACCTCCTCAGTGGTACTAGGGGGAAGTCACCCCCAGTGTTGCTCCCCTCCTGGGGCTCAGGCTTCACACCCCCGGTGCGAGGGAACCATCATCCAAGTGTTCCTAGTTTGTGCCAGCTCTGTCCGTTGCCGGCCCGAAGAGCCTCCTCACTGGCTCTTCCCACATTACTGCCAGTGGCCGTTTTTATTCCTGCTGGCTGGTGTGTCCTCGTGTTGTCACCCACCAGCTTTAATTGTATAAAGGCGCAGCTTGTAAACCATGCGGGTTCTTCTCTTCAGTCTTCCGTTGTTGCTCCTCCTGCAGGTAAGTGGTTGTTTTGTGTTTCCTTCTTTATTTTCATGTTTCTTCCCATGCTGTGCCCCACCGGCGGGGCTTCCCGGTCCCTCTTCTCACTATCCCCGGGACACTCTCCCTTTCCTATAAAGAAGAGCTATGTATTGGCTCCCTCGGGTCTGTGAAAAGGAGAACTGACCAGGAACAAGGTCTGTGGATATACAGTAAGGCAGGGGTTCCCAATGTTTATGTGCCCAAGAGCACATTTGAATTTAAAAGAAAAAGTGGCAGGCTCCACTCTCGTGGCTGATTCAGGGTAACTCCTGGATATGCACATGCACATAGTTTAGTCTGGGGAGGGAGTAGTAAGCACCACTCTGTTACTGCATCAGTCAGACCGACTCAGTCTCATTTTGGTGGCAATTGCATGCAGCCTGTGAAAAAAAAATTGAAGTGATGCTGTTCTGAGTTCAATCAGCAGTGACAGCATTTTTTTGTTGGAATAATGATTTTTACTGATCATGAAAATGTGTGTGGGCGCCTGAATAAACCTCAGGGGGCACCATGGCACCTGTGGGCATTGTGTTGGGAACTACTGCAGTAAGGCAATTAATAGGCCTATTCCCTAGTGGAGGGACTGATCAGGCTGGGTATTGTACCAGGAGCCCCAGCATGGCTGCCCAGATACTTGATGGCCTCCGCCTGGGTTAGGAGGAGGATTGTAATTCCATATTCTGTATTGTTCTTTTGTCCATAGATATCCCTATATTCACGCTAGGAGCAACTTGTACAATAGCTTCGGTTCCAGCAGTCCTTATTTAGGAAAATCATCTACTGAAATCAATGAGTTGAGCTTGAATAAGATTTTTGGAATAAAGTTCATATTGCATAATAACTTCCACAGAAGAAAAGTAACCTGAAGGCACAGATTCTCCAGATTAACTTCCCCAGAATTTTGAATTGGGAGCACACTCATTTGTGTTTAACAATTAGGCTTGAACATATTTTACTGAACTTGTTCAGACTCCATACATAACAATGGGCAACTAGCCCATGGAGTGGATACTGCTGGTGAACAAAAAGAGCTGATTGTCCCATTGTGTTGTTTAAGTTAAGAATGCCTGAAGGTGACATACAAACTACAGAGATAAAATATAAAGTACTTCCTTACTAGATTTTCTATCAGATGCCATGTGATGAAATAAGAGCTGAGCTAGTTGGGGAAAATATCTTGCTTGATTAGTGCTGAGATAATTTATAAAGCTATCATGAAATCCCCATGATATACACCCCAATCCATCTGAAAAGGCAGTCTTCCTTATCATGTAATTTAGTGATCATAAGGCATGATGACAATGCATTATCTTTCTAGGAGTGCTCTCATGAGAGCCTTCATGCTGCCACACAGGAGCCATATTTAATTTCTTCATATGTTTCTTGTGAATAGATTTGACATTTGATCTCACTTATTAGAATTACTATCAAATGTTTTTTCCTATTTCATACTGGAGAGGTAGTCACTACCAAAACACTTGAAACAGCCCGTTAGACAGTAAGCAGGCAATCACTAGTGACCAAGGCAGATGACTGGGATGTGCTATTTGTAAGCTTTTGGGGACAGAAGTATGTATGTTAACGAGGGAGAGAGCAATATGATTGTCATCTTTATTTGCTATTCTTGCTCCATCTGTTATTTATTATATTATGTAATGACTAGAAAAATAACATCATTATGATTAAGGATCTGAATTAAAGTGATAAATGAAAGGAAATCTTAAAGTTGCAGTTGTCATGTCATTTATAGTTACCAGGTTGTGTCCAGCTACCACAGGGATATCAGAGCAGTGGGAAATATTCCATTCTCTATAAATCACCACCAGCAGTCAACATTGTACATTCCTTTCTATTCTCATTCGCTCTCATTTTGTGAAGAAAGTCATTCTTTTTATCTTTTATAGTCATAGGCACTCCTGACTGGTTGGTGAGCAACTATTTTTATTCCTGATAGAACAATCCAATATAACTTTTCCACGAGAGCTTTTCTTACCCATCTCTTAAAAGAAAGGACCATCAAACAAGAAAAACTCAGTCAAAATGACAGGAAAATAAAAAATTATCTAACTAACGATTAGTAAACAAAACAGCATTTTAAGAGGGAAAGGAGGGATGAGTACAGTAGAGGGAAGCTCCCCTTTCTCATCTTGGCTTGGATAAGCAGTTTTTCCCATCTCCTTTGCTGGTGTAGGGTGAACTCTGTTTACTGTTTCAATCTACTTTAACTATTTCAGTAGTATAATGAAGGCTAGTGAGTGGGGCGTGAGCCCTAGGTATTGCCTACTGGGAAGAGGGTGTCCAGAACAGAGCAAGCTGGGTGACTCACCCTCCTAACCCTCTACTGCTCTCCCCACCAGCACCCTGCACGTTCCTGGCTCTAGCCCCAGAAGGGGTAGGACAGAAAAGCAGCAGCAGTGGCAGTACAGGGTGGGGTGGGTGGAGGTTCACTGTTGGATGTCACCTCCTTTTCTAACCACCAAAAACTAGTGATTTTAGTTCATTTGTCATGCATGTCTATGACAAAGAAAGGAGCTGACATCTCCCATGGAGCTGGAGTTGGAGCAGAGAAGATGCAAAGTGAGGTGTCCTCGTTCATTATCTAACTGTGCAGTAAACATCTCAGTGTCTACATGTGCTCTCTATTAGGGTGCACAAAACTAATAAACTCCTCAGCAGGGCACTAATTGTAAATACAAGTCCAATGCTACTGCAGAGTTTTTTCATGCACAGCAGTGCACATGTAGATGCCAACCCAGGTGGCTGAGGCACGAGGGTGCTTCAGTGCAGGGGATGCCTGCTGACTAGCTCCACACTGAAGCACCTTCATGCCCAAGCCACCCCCTCTGCAGCAGATTGAGCCTAGTCAGAGCAGCCCCAGGTTGGCAGTCAGACACCTCCACCCCCTCCAATCCTTAACCAGCTGAGGCTGCTGCAACCCAGCTCAATGTGCTGCACTCTAGGTGCACACGTAAACTATGTACCTGGGAGCTTGTTAGGAGCAATAAGCTCCATGGTTTATTGCTTTCTGTTAATAGCACATGTAGATTCACCCCTTCAGGCCAAGACTAGGTCTATACTAAAGGAGCTGCTGCCACTTCAGTTACAATGGCAGCGCTACAGGGTTAGGCCTGCCCTGCCCTAACATCTCCCTTTCCCCCCACAGAATAGCCATAGCTCTAAAGGCAGAAAGAGTTTTAACATTTGGTGAAAGACAAGAGTTTTGCTGGTTGAAGCTGCCTTTGCCACTAGAACTGCATCCACATATGGGTTTTTTTACTGGCAAAGCTAGATCAAACTCTGGATATGTCCCTTTATACCCCAAGTTAACTTTAGTTTGCCAGCAGAATTTTATAATGTGAACAGTGTTTTTTTCCTTTTACTAAATCAAGCCCATTCTGTCACCTCAGCATAGGCTCTGAATACTAACAGCCTTGTGATGCCTTCCTACCTCCAGTGATACCACCTCTCAGGCGTTTTTCATGAAAGGTGAGATTTTGGCTAGCAATAATATGAGAAGCTCCAGCCCTCTAGGTGATTTCAGTTTTGCCTGGAGGAAAACTATAGAGCTGATAATCGGGGTACTGTGGAAGACAGAGTTATCTCCCCTTCCCAAAGCAGCTCAGTGCCATTCCCTGGGGTGGAGGCAGGAAGGTGCCGGGTGCTGGTGAGGAGAGCAGTACAGGGAACAGGAGGGTGAGGCACCTACCTTGCTCCATTTTGGACAACCTCTTCCCCTTAAGCAATACCATTCCCCCAGGGTGGGGGACAGGAATGGGGAGGAATAGAGGAAGGTGGAAGCATGAAGGATGGAGCTGAACGCTCACTAACCAAAAGCAGCTTTGCTCCTTCTTTCCCTGTTCCTTCTCTGTGGGCACATCTATACATGCACTGTTACTGTGCAGTAACTATGGTGACTTATGCTGACTTGGGCATGAATTTGCGACCTGCATGATGCAGGAAGAAAAATTTACACCTGAGTAGTTACTGCGTCATAAGGCATGCATAGACACCTTACTATGCAGTAACCCTGTGCATGGGTCCAAACAGTCCACACACAGCATTACTGAGCTGTAATGCCTGCATGTATAGACACCGGCATAAAACCGTTTCCTGAGCAGTAAGTTACTGCACAGTAAATGCACATATAGACATTCCCAGTGAGCAACAGGATGACTCCTCTGCTCATACTGCAACTCCCACCATAAAAGTAGAGAGGGAAGTAAAGAACTCCTGTAAATGCACTTCCAGACCAGAGGTGAAGAAGAGGGCCCCACTCCATCTGCCCCTCCCCTGCCCCTGGAGAGGGGAGGGGAACTGAGGTGCATCTTGATGGGATATAATTGATTTTTGCACTAGGCAGGAATTGGAAATTGAGGGGGGCAGAACTGATGGAGGTTGGGGACAATCAGAGTTGATTTGGAGACTGGGGACAGGATTGATTTTGAGTTAGAATTATGCACTTGGCAAGGAATAGGCTGAAAAGTCCTGACAGTATTGCTTTATTCAGTACATTTGGGGACCAACACTGATTTCATCTCGTGTATACCTACTCTGTCATGGGCTACTCTCCACAACTATTCTTTCCTTCCCTTAACCTCCTAAGGCATATGGGTTGCCTGTTCTAGTTCCTAGATTGATGGAAAGGTCAATAGACATCAAGAGGGAGAACAAGATCACATTAGAAACCCTAGGAAAGGAGAGTGGCTTCTGGTGATAGAAAGGCAGGACTGTGTTGGCTTCTAGTCTGTGTCCCCAACCTAGGAAGGAACTAGGGCCATGCCAAAGATCCATTCAGGCTCTTTCTTTAGGGCATGGTTTATTAATGACCCCAACAATCTTCAACAAAATGGATAAACATAAACCCAACAGCTAAACAGCATCCCAGACCCAGGAATGTCCTTGCCAGGACATCTCTGCTACTATCAGTCAGCTTTTCCCCCCATTTCCTACAACAGGTCAGCTGCCTGTAAGTCTCATTGCTCTAGGGCCTCACAGAGAAGTCAAATTGCTTCCTGTAGCTCACTTCTCTGAGTCACAGTCTTCCAACTTTTAAAAGAATCAGGCATTCATAAGGCAATCATCTGATTCCTTCCAAACTATCAATACCCATCCTGTTTCTACCTAGATTGCACTTATTCTGACAGGCTGGCCATAGGCCCCAAAGTCCTTAATGGCTGACCTGTTGCCGAGACATCAGTTTATAGTTAATGCTTCTTTATTGTTTTGATTCACCCGAGAGCTTATGTAACTAAAAGTATGGTTTAAAATTATTATTGGAATAATTTTCTTCTGACGGTCTGCATAGCAATTCTTGATGATTCTTGTAATGCCTTTTACTACCACAGTGAGGTTTGCTCAGTTGAAACAAAAAAACAGTCTGACCATTCTTGAAAAGTTTCATTTGAGCATGCATTAGTCTTTAAATAGAAATCCCTTTTATGCCTACCAGTATTTGGTTACTGAATAGGAAATGAAATAGGACAATAAGATTGATAGGATGATTAAAATGTCAGTATATGTAGAGTTGGACTTTCAGAAATGTTTAGCGTAAGCCTAATTCTGCTCCCATATAAGTTAATGGCAAAATTCTCATTATCTTCATCAGGATCAGAGTTAAAATCTGAGGGTGCTTGTCCACATTATACTTTTCCTGTTTTTGGAGAGTCACTCCTATATAGTTCTGTACCCAAAGAGAAGAATAAAAACACAAACTCAAAATATGGAATGTTAACATCTTCCCTGTTCGTAGCATCAGATCAATTATATTTTCATCATGACTACTTATGCATTTTGTAATGTTATTTTTACATAACTAGACACTTTAACTGCTGCAAGGAAAATGTTGAGTGGTGCCTATGAGGAGTGACTGGGTGAGTTGTCAGTGAGTTGATCTCAATTTTAAGAAATGGTCAGTGAAATGAAAGTATGTGAATCACCAGCATAAAAAAGGGAATACATGTACATAAGTAAGTTCATACAGGGTGCTCCCTGCAAAAATTACATTTATGTTATGGTTAGATTTGATATTTGGGGATTGGTTTAAAAACTGTGGGAATCTTTCCAGTTATTTTTGATGTATGGCCAGCTGGACTGAAATTATATTCACTGAGTACTGAAGTTCTAAATTTTATCATTAAAAAAACAAATCATATCTTGGAAAATAATGAAACTGGGTTTTCTTTCAGAGTTATGTGATGTATAGAAGGTGGTTTTCATGATGTCATCCAGATAGTTTAAATAAACTGTTTGTGTATAAGGTTAACAAGCTGCAGTGGTTACAGAGCCTATGTGGGATTGTATTAGAGCTAATTTGATCAATTACTTTTAGTTCCAGAGGTCTCTAGATGAGACAGAAGCCAGTGTACACACTTTGGCAGATGAAGAATCAGTGCAGTCAACACATGCCGTGAAGGTAATGAACATTCTTTCAAAAGTCATTTTTTATCCAGAGGAGAGAAAAAGACAACTAATCCCAGTCACTGCTACTCAGAGCAGCCAAAATGATAACCATAAATAATAATAATAGTCTACAGTTTAAATGCAACAGAGAAGTAAGAAGTAAGTATTTTGCCTTTAAAATGATACTGTTAAATCTGAAATGTTCATTGTGGCTTGCCCTAGAGCATGTGAAGATTCTTTTATTTCAAATAGCCTCTAAATTAAAAGATTTCTATGTGCTTTGTTTTGACGAATTGCTTAAAAGATGGAGAGAGGAAAAACAGCATCGAGTCAATTCAAAAGAACTCTCCAGGAAGATTCCTTCAACTTTCAGTAGAACTCTTGCAAAATTCAGGAAGATCAGTTCTGCACAGAAAATCCCATGGAGAATAAGGGAGGTTACTATTTGCCAAAAGGACTTAGCTGCCCCCATTCTGTCTGGTATTGTTAGTCTTATTTGCCTAGAACGATTGACCTTAACAAGGATTTTTGTCTACATTAGAATTCCAAGATTGGGCCATTGCCTTGTGAAATACTAAAGCAACAGCAACACAATTATTGCACTAAATAATAAATAGTTACAAAATAAGTATGGAGTAAATTTTCTTAGAATCCAAACATGCTTAAATTTAAAAATTATGGTATTTTATCATATAACACATACCTTTTCTCCAAACCAGCAGCTGGAGATTGGAGTACACATGGTAAGAACACAACCATTTTACATTTAAGTACCTAACTGGTCAGTTCTGATATACTTCCTTGACCTATACACACAGTTGCTATCAGTGATTATGTTCAATGAACAATTGCACATTAAAATGTCAGTGTGAAAGATGGTCTTTACTTCTCAAAAATGCAAGACGTAAAGATTGTTGACACACTTTATTTATGTGACCCTGAGGTAAGAGTTAATATATATTTAATGTTTGATACTCTTAGGTTATAAATCTGATATATCTAGTAGGGGAAAAATAGGGTGCCCTTTGTGGATTAAAAGGAAACTTTTTCAAATGCTTATGGCAGCATAGTGCTGTCTTAAAATAAAAATTCTTCCAGTTCAAAATTTGGTAGAATGGACTTGTGCAGCCTTGACATTTCTTCACCTTTGATAAAGTCTATAGGAGCATTGTTTATAAGCTGTTTGGTAATTGCAGCTATCATTGTATCATGTTGCTTTTAATAGATAACTTACATTTTTATTAAGTGCGGAAATTATTTGGTTATCCAAGTAGACTGACTGCTGCTCTGCAGGGTTTTAAACTGCATTTCAGCAGTGAAGATGGTCAGTTAACAACTGTATTGTCCTCATTTTCTTCCTTCACATCTCTTACCTGTCTTTTTTTAAATGTGAATAGTTACTCATATAAGTGCCTACTCATACTAGTGAACATAGTTCCAGTAAATTCCATAGCAAATGCAACTCAGGTACTTGGCAGATCGGGTCACTGTGATGCTGTAGTGTGGATTCTCACTTGTCAGAGAGAAAATGAAATGTGACCTTATATAATCAAACCCCACAATAATTCAACATTTCTCAATTAGCATAGACTTTTCTACCTTCAAAATAGCAGCAACCCACTGCAATAATCCATTTTGCTGCTGCTTACATACGAAATCAGCCCTCTATAAAGTCTTTCCTGGATAGGGGACTAGAAATGTGTCAAATATCCATTCTTGAGAGTCACTAGATCGAGGCACAACTTGTTAGGCTCAAAGCACCCCTCAGAAAATGGCATCTCTTAACTTTAACTCATTTTTTGACTATGGAAAAATAATACAGGTTTCCCTCGCTTTATGTGTACATGTGTTCCTGGAAAACGGTGCATTACTCGAATTCGCATAAAGGGAACCCACTTTACAGTGTAACAAAAAGGGATACGTTCCAAGACCTCAACTGTACTGACCCCCAGACACATTTCTACCACTTTTACAAGACAATTTTGGTACTCACCAATAGCAGACAGTACACACAAGCACAGGGTGGTGGTGAATGTTACCGTAATGGAGATGGCAACTACAGAAACATGTCACAGAGAATGAGCAAGGAGCACAGATCCACACAGGAGACTATATTTTGGTGTGTGTCACTCCCACAATGCACTGCACAAAGCAGCTGACTTCAGGCTTCCACCACACCAATCACATAAGAGTGACTTTACCTAGCATATAACGGATTTTTGGTATAAAAAGGGTCATTGCATAAAAACAAATTCGCACATACAGAACCCGCATAAAGCGAGGGAAACCTGTATAACAATGTTACTACTGCAAAGACCTCAGAAAGACCACAACAGGTCAGAATGTTTCTAATACTATGGATTCTTATTTGAAATATTGGGGTTTATCTTGTGAATCAAGTTTGCACATGTGCCAATGCCAACATTGTGTGGTACCCTGCAGCACTATTGACAGAATCTCAAGGCATCCCAGGGTGCTATGGCCCCAGGTTGAGAATCATTACGCTAGATGGTGCTATAGCAGATCATCTTTCTAGGTCAGTTTTATCTGATATATAGAAGTTCTTGCTTGAAGAAATGCTTATTGGCAACTATAATGCAGTTTTTTTTAAAGAGACTGATCATAAATCTTCTTGACTTTCTATAAGGCCCCCTATGACCAGGTAATCATACCTTAAGTTGTGACGCAGCTACACATTCAACCAAGTAATGGCGTGATCAAACAAGCAATAAGCTACAAAGTTATTCCATAAAAATGTGTAATAACTTTGTAGCTTGATCTAATCATGCCATTAATTGAACATGTGGCCCAGTGCTCCCCTGTGGCTGGGAGCCCCACTCACTTCACTAGTGACAGTGTTGTCAGCTGCAAGTCTTGCAGTACAGAGAACACTGCCCCCCTGTGTGCCTCCCTAACTGTGGGGCTCATGGCAGAGGCAGTGTCTTTGACAGTGGGGCTTCCAGCAGGAGGGCAGTGTGGAGAACACTGTCCCCACTGTGAGCCTTGGCGTTTACAGCAGTGGCAGCATTCCCCTGTGCTGCTCCTGCTGTGAGCCCTTCAGCCAATATTGCTGCAGGGCTGCAGTGGGGGCAGCAGGGACAGCATTTTCCTTGCTGCCACTGCTCCCTTTGCAAGCCCCACACTTCAAGAGGCTCTCAGTGGTAGCAGCATTCTCCTTACTATTACTAGTATAATCACTGGGCTACAGGGCTCACAGTGGGGATAGCATAAGAGAACACTGCTGCCACTGTTAACCTCCTGCTGCAAGCCCCACAGCCCATGCCAGCTGCGGGGCTTGCAGTGGGGGCAGTGCAAAGAATACTGCCCCTGTTGCAAACTTGAGTCCTGTCAGCTGCCAGGCTCGCAGCCACAGGAGCCAGTGCAGAGGGAGACGGGGATCATGATGGCACGTGTGGCACGGCAGGAGGCTTGCTTGTGTGGATCACGCATTAGATCCCATTGCACCTTTACCTGCATGTGTAGACAGGCCATTAGACTTACTGCTTGTCCACACTGAGACACTCAGAAAAAAATAATTTGAATTAAATAAATATGTGAATTTAAAATGCGTATCATTTAACTGCTGTGCAGACACTCATTTGGAATTTAAAGCAGCTTGCATTTGATTTAGCTTAATTAACTTTAAGGTAATCCACTTCTAAAGCACAATAAACTAAATCAAATTAAGATTTCTTTAATTTTGAATGAAAGTGTTTACAAAGGAATTGAATGCAGTTTAACTAATCTACTTTAAAAGTTCATTTGGATTAATTTTACTGAATGTTCCAGTGTAGACAATCCTAGCAGCACCTAAATCACCTTGAAAATGGAGCTTAAGCTTTACAATCACTTAGATCTCTTTTGAAAATACTGTCATAACTTCACCTACATGTGATATCTAAAAAAGAAAAAAATACATAGTATCAAAATATTTCAGTTTCCACTTCTAGAGTTTCTGCCTGATTGTTCCTTGTGACATGTTTTTCTTGGGCTAGTCATTGAACCTTTCTGTACCTTACAAATTTAGTTTGCCATCTATGAAATGTCAGATCAAACTTGCCTTATGGTGAATTTTGAATAAAGAACAGGAAATTAATACTTCATATGGTGTTGTTCCAATTAGGAATTTGAGAAGCAGTTTTTGGGAAGACATGGCCATGAAGAAGCATAGAATTGGTTCAGTCGGTGTATCATGAAGTTATGATACTTAGTGTTTAGGATAACTGAGAAGATGAAGGATTGACATTTCCTCCAAGAACAAAGTAGCTATCTTTGTACATGGTTACTGTTTTTGTTTAATGTTATGTAAATGACATATGCACTTGGCAACCTTTACTATTACCTAGCAAAGTCTGTGTGATGGCATTATTATATAGTTATAACATTACAATTTGCATGGTCTTTACTTATTACAGAATTATTCCTGCAGAAAACTTATTTTCATACAATATGACATTCTTATATATAACAAGTAAGAGCTCAATATAAAATCTAGGATCACTGCAATTTATACCTAAACTGAATCTGCTTAGACAAATGGATTTAAAACTGGTACTACAAAGTCAAAGTCTTCAGCCTCTCTTACAGTAGAATCAAACTCACGGATCATTGACTGTATTGGGTAACAACAAAATTTCTCCACGACAAAATGAAGATAAAATTGTGGCCTATGCTAGCATACTTGTGCTAGCTTAATTTCACAATCCTGAGAGACAACAGCAGCAAAAATGACGCAGCATGAGCTTTAGTCCATGCTAGTGGCTTGACAATACCTCCAGAGTCCCTAGTGAGCTTGAACTCTTGTTCCTAGAGCATGCTGTACTGCCCACACTGTTGCATCTTTGTTGACATTATTACCTGTGCTAGGTAGGTTAAGCTGGAAAACATACTGCTAGCACATGCTATTATCACCCTTTAATTCTGTTTTGTGGAGGTACCTTGATAAGGCAAAGGTTTTTCTCAAAGGAAGTAAAACTGGACAAAAGAAAGTTTTAAGGCTAGACTAGGCTAATAAATTGCTTTAAATGGGACAGAACAGGGATAGCCTCAAGATCCTTAGGTCTGCATTGTAAAAGTAAAAATCATAGATGAGAGCTTTACCTGGCATAAATAGGCATAGAGCCTTTGCTGGCTCAGAGCATTTGAAGAACTGGCTCATGGTTTGAACTGATGTCTCTCCAATATTTAATTTCACGTGCAACTACAGTAATGAAACACCTGGATTGTGTTCCTTGTTATGTATGCACTTAAGCTTATGGATTCAAGGCCACTGAATCTTTGAACTTTTGGTCTTTTGTCTGTCAGGTCAGCTGGTATTTGGAAGGTCAAAAACTGAAAGTTTAACTCCTCTAGTGTCACATGTATGTATGAATTGTATTTATAGATCTATGGTAAACTACCATAGATACCGGAGCTTTATGGTTATACACAGTGAAGTCTGAGGGCCATGCAAAAAGTCATATCCACTATATGTGCAAAAGCTGAACTAAAAGATTAAAATCTTGAAAGTGAAGCATCAATTGCTCTAGTATATATTGCATTTTTACACCTTACAGAGCTATTTATAGAAGGGATATTCTCTGCTATCCCATTTCCAAGACACCTACTATTATCACAGAGACAAGGACAGGAAAAACAATATGATATGAAAGCATGAAATTATATATGATAATATTCTTGTGATTCCTATTCACTTAATACACTGAATCACTGCTCTGAGGTCACCCTCATGTATAAATGTTTATTCCAGAGATTTTTGCAATGTGGGTGTGAAAAGAGGAATATATATTACATAGAGCTACTTCACAACGTCCAAACAAACAAGCAGAAGCTACAAGGGACTCTGGAGTAAAGTGAGTAGCTTTTGTGTTTAGTAAAGACAATTTAATATTCATCTCTGAACATAATCAGGAGAGATTTCACTGGAGCTGCTGAAGCAAAATAATAATTATATGTACTATATACCAAAGTATGCTTACTGAAATTTCTAAATTGGATTTATTCTCTTGCCATTGAAATCCATGCCATCTAAGGTGTGTTCCCTTCCCCCAGGTCTCAGTTCATTAGCAGACTAAAGAGAAATTGAATGAGAGACCCTGATTGGTGTATAGGGAGGATGGAATTATCTACCTCATCTTGCACAGTAAATCATTGATAACAACAAAACTAAAACAATGAGAAATTAGTTCCCAGAAGAATCATTAGTGGTTTAACTGATTTAATTGACAAATATTGAGTTTGCTTTAATTGATAGATATCAAGCTTTGAGTAATCTCTTAGATTTTTCTACCTGACTTAGCAAGGAACATACAAAGCTGTAAGTCAGCACCTAATGTCCGTTTCAACTAGAAACAACCTTAAAAGCACAAAAGTCATTTTGTTTTCAACTGCTTATGGACTAAGGGGGTGCATCTACATGTATACTTTAATACACAGGAGCCTATTTTACTGCACATTAATGGGTCATGTCAAAAGCCGTAGTAATACGCTAATGCACAGTAAAAATAGACTACTGCACATTAAGTGTCACTTAAAAAATGTGCTTTGACTACTGCAGGGCAGTAGGGCAGCTTAATGTGCATTTACTACCCCACATTAGAGGCACTAAATTTTTTGAGCATTAGGTAAAGCGCATTAATGAACGTGTAGATGCACCCAAGAAGACCTCCTTGCAACCTGTGACATCTTTGACCTCAGGGACCAGCAAAACAGCTGACTGGTATGGCATTAGGAAGTCCAAGCAACACCCATGTTCCTCTGATTACAGTTCTTACCAGCAACAGGAAGAAAGAGGGCTGCAGGAGCTGCCACATTGGCTTTGTACTACCAGATTATCCTTTACTTTAGGGCAATCTTCCTCTGACATATTAGGCACTTCTTTAGAAGGCTTCTGTGCTGGCAGTCCAGTGTAAAAGGTCTGTACTACAACCTTAATTTAGGGCTTTAATCTAGGCCCTCTTTGTTTTTTCAAATGCAGCTTAGGTTCTGGCACATAGTTCTACAGCAATTTCAAAAAATAGTAGAATTGTGTAGCAATTGAAAGACAGCATGGTACTGGGCCTTGCCTCTGTCATCATTTGCTTGGATCAGAGACTGCCTTTTTGTTCTCTGCTTGTATAGCACATAGCATAGTAATGGTGTGACTAGAGCTAAAAATAATAATAATTAATATAATTTTATGAAATTACTGAATTCCAGCAAGTGCATTATGGTCATTTTGAGAAGCATATGAAGGTCAGTTGTGTTCCAAGGATCCTACAGTGGTATTCAGATGGTAATTCTATAGCTACAGTCAAAAGAACTCTAATGACAGCTTCATGTGAGCATAAAAATAAAAAGTATGGTCACAGTTTGCAATGTAAGCATGCACATGTACACCTTAGTGTACTAGGAATGATAATGAATCCATGCTCCTTTTTCCCCCCTTCTTGTTTCAAAACTTGGGATCTGATACCTGAGCTAGGCACAAAATAGGAAATAAACATCAGTCATTTTTAACAAGAGAAGTTCAGTAACAAGCAAGCAAATATGGAATTTGTCTTCTGTTTATGCAACTCATAAAGGAAACAAATTCAAATTTTGAACTTTCCAGGGACAACAATGAGGAATAAAGAAATCCTTAAATATTCCAAAAGATACCTTGTTGGTGTCATTTTATCAGCTAAAGCCTCAAAAAAAAAAAAGATGCAGGGGACACCTGCACTGCTGGAACCTGCATAAGTAGAACTAAATACAAACTAGTGTGTT